AGCAGGAAGCTGTTTGCTATCTAATCTGCTACTTACTTCCTCAATGTATTATTAACATATATAATTCATTACCTTATTTACCCAAAGGATATAGTATTTTATATAATTTGTTTCTGAAAAATATGCTTGTAATATTAATACAGTATCTCTTCCCTCATTTTCTCTAGTTGCTTACTTAACAACTTCATCTCATTTTATACCACACCCCAAAATCATAGTGATGTGTAAAGAAATCCCAAACCCTACAACACTGGTGTCCTGACAGACGGGCTGGAGTCCTAATGTCAATGCTGCCTTTATGTGCCACTCTTTATACCACCAACAGTAATAACTATGTCTTTTTTGGAAACTTAATTTTAGACCCCCAAAACTGTATATTGCTTCTCTGGCCAGGTTAGTGTGACCTTCCTGTGTTTGAATTATGACATGGATGGGTTTACTCCTCTGTTTACTAATTACTTTGACTTATAAGTGTTATTATTCATTAAAAATGCAGGAGAGTGCTAGTAGCCTGCATCAGTATACAAATGATGAACTAAAAATCTGAGTATTGCTCCATAAATCACCATGAAGTCTCAAGTTTAGACCTCACTATTCCTGACCTGTACTCATTTGTTCTAAGCTTCTCTCTACATTCTGTTTCTGGCTGTATCTTTTAAACTTTTACTGAGGAATCTTCTTTCAGCTACACTTTGAATAGGCATTTATAATTATTCATATTAACCAATGCAATCATGACTCAAACCTCTTCTCCCATTTCATTTTCATCATCATTTCCCTCTCCCAGATAAAAAACTAAATGCTCAAGGCACTAATTTTGATGGAGGATCAAGGTAGATTTTGAGACATTTGCAGTAGAATAGAGATTTAGAACTAAGAGGAACAAATGAATATTAAATATGTCACAAGTAATGAATAAAATGCCTCTTAATTGACTGGTTGGTGTTCTGTTACAAAGCCAAAGGGAATATGTAAAGGATGTAGTGAAGCAGGAGCGCTGCTGAAGATAAGAATAACAGAAATCTAAACCACACTTAACTTTAGCTTATTTTCAGAGCCAGCAAGAAAAAAAAAAAACAAAACAAAAACTATACTTCTAGAAACTAATAAACATACACACTGTACAGGGAATGTCTGTGGAGACTGTCACTGACTGCATTAGAGGTGATTTATTAAGGCTGACTCCAGAGCAGACACAGTTAATCAGCCCTGCTGAGTTGTGGTGATCATTTATTTAATGCTGACTTCATAGACTAGCTCATTAACTTACAATGAGGTAGTGCATTAAGTGTTCCTCAAAAAAAAAAAAAATCCAAAAACCTAATGACTGAGTGTCATGAGCTTCCACTGCATTGGGACCTACTTGCAAACAGGCTCCCTTATTTGCTTCATGCTTTCCTAATATCTCTCTCCCGGTGCTCTCTTCGTATGTTATTTCACATGCTCAAGAACTGTGTACATTTGGAATAAGATCTGTTGGGGTATTGGGAGAGTGTTAAATGATTCAGTGCAGTTTTAGCTCCCATCAGCAGACTTTGTATATTTTTGGCAGACTGATCATCTTCAAAAATACTCTTTAGAAGAACACATTGCTGAGTGACCTCTAATACTTAACACTAAGCAAGTGATTCAGTAGACTAGTTCCATCGAGGTGCTTTACCTGCAAGAGAGGGTTTCTAGGCTTGTCCTTGTGCTTAGTAACTGAATGTCTTTTCTTGCTCAGATGATTGTTTCACGTTTTTGATACTGTTCTCACAAATCTGTATGTAAGCAAGAGTAGAGATATGAAACATTAAAATCAATATTTGACCACCAAGCAATGGGTTATTTTGAATGTGGGTTGCAGCTGTCCTTCATCTGCAAGGGTACATGAACAAAGAATAACTACCAGTAACAATACGTAATAGTTGCTGCCATGGAAAGTTTTCTAACTGCACGGAGATCCAACTGATAGTGCTGGTTTAAGTCTCTTTTTATTTGCCCTGCTGTCATGTAAGAAATGTGGTTTTAAAAGGTAAATAGTAGGTCATGATCTTTACTTCAGCCAAAGACTCTGTGAAGGTAATACTGGAAGGCAACCACTGAACATAAAAAAAGGAAGCTAGAATTTATTTTTTTAAGCTACTGCATTATATTACATTTAAATTATATCGACTGTCTTAATATAATCTATGAATTGACTGAACGTGATGGTACAGGAGCATCTTGCATGATTCAAGTACTAACATTTGTGTAAAATCAAACATGCTTGATGTTTTGAACGTTATAAAAAGCTGTGAAAAAAACTGTCAAAAAAGCATGCTTTAATATTTTAAAATAAATTAATTCAGGTGATTACAGATATTACTTTAAAATACAGATTTAAAGTGAAGAAAGTATCATATGAGCAAAAAAACCAGTATAAGCTAGACTAAAAAACTTGCATCTTCTAAACTCTCACATTTCAGAAGTGCCTAATTTAAAGCAAGACCTTAAAAATTGTCAAGCTTAGCTCAACAAATCTAATTATATCACACAGAAATGTGGTGCAATGTATTGTCAATACCAGGTACTCTACACATCAATCCTGGAGACTGGAAGCAAAGAAAACTGACTGAGAAAACAATAATCCTGTAGTGTGTGTATGTATTGTTACAGTAAATAAAAATAAGAAGTGGAACAAATTCCAAAACCTGTAACAGAAGTTAATTTGGTTCTTAACAATCCACACAAAAAAGGAATTTCTATTTAAGTATAAATATAATGAAAAAATATTCATATTTATATGAATCTATTTAATCCATTAAAAGATGTGCTGGAAAGTGAAACCCTTGAAGCACCAGAAAGGTTTTAGTTTGGTACACATCAGCAAAAATCTCATCAAACTAGAAATTTCCCTGTGTTGTTTGTGCAGACCCACGCTTTTAAGGATGCACCTGCTGGACTTCCTAAAATTCCAGTAGCTCATGCTTCTAGTGAACTATCTCCTTGCAATCCATGCGTGGGTGTAAGGACTGACGGGAAAGACCTGACCACCCCTAGCATTTCTTCACGTTGTTACAATTCTTCTGCCTTCCCAACATCAAGCTGTAACACCTCGCTGCTGCTGAAGCCAGGATTCCCCTGACAACAAACTTTCATGTTTAAATACCGCAGCAGCAGTGCTCTGCCAAATTATCAGATAGGAGGTATAGCACAATCTTTTTTTCCAGGATTGTTTGCTTAGAGTTGTTTCACATACAAGGTAGGTGGGAGCTGTAGCTTGCCCAGGTCCTGCAACACAGATAAATTTCTTTTTTCCAGTTTCTTTTATCAGCTCTTAGGCACCAGATCTTTGAGATTTTTTTAAAGATATTTTACTGGTTTTTGGCTATCTTGGACCAACTTATATGCGGGTAATGTGATAGAACCACGTCATCCTGTCACCAAAAGTAAGAATACTTTTCAATGGAGATAAATACTTTTAAGCTTATTTTCATCCAGTGCTCCAACACTTTGAAAGTCATATTGTTCATATAAGAAGTTACACTGCCTCTTAATGTGCAACATGCACCACCTCTCCTCACAGTTTTTAAGAATAAGATCTGTAAACAATTGAAGTTCGCACAGCAATGATTTCCCCACATGAAACTCTGCACCTCTATGAGTGGAAAAATCCAAAGAGAGGATGGGCCACCCTCTGAAATCCTCTGTGGGACACAGGCCACTAGACCTGCTCTGTGGCTTTTGATTTTGTGTAAAATTTCCACACATCAAAAATATATCAGAATGTGGTCAAGCAAGTCTGTCAGCTCACTTTCAACACGCCAAATTTTGCATACAATTCTGCTGTGTTCAACCCATGTTTACTGAAATAATAATTAATACAATGGAAGTAGTGACCGGAACTAAATGGAACGCTTAGGCTGAACCTCCATTCAGCAAAGGCAAGGCAGGGAGGGCCCTTGGCAACGCACCTCTCCTTAAAGTCATCTAGCCCAAATGTTGCAAAATGTTTAATATGTAAAAATTTTCTTAAGAAAGGATGTTCTTTGATGTTTGATTTTTGTATAGTTTCAAGACTCATCAACAAGAAGGAAGATTTAGTCTGTGAAACCGAGAGCAGCTAACAAGCAAGCTCTAGGTGATATCCATGCGCTAGAAAAAACCAAATTATTTGTTGGTAGAATTGCCTTGTTAAGGTTTAGGACTGGACATGCTTCAGTAGTCTCAGACCCAGGGGGAGGTTAACAGAACTCGGGAAGGATGTATCACTGACAGTGGACACAAAGAATGCAGGATTTACGGCCACGAGGACATTCGGCAGAACTCCTGAGATAACGAAGAAACTAATAAACCCAAGTCAGCAACTGTGCTGGAATCAGCTCCGAGTGGGTAAAAGGTAATTCCCTCAGGGGGAGATGGGAACCAGCGACTCAGGGACCCGCGACCGAAGAAACCCACCCACCCAAGAGAAGAGAAAGACTGAGCATGGGGACTAATTAGTATGAGAAGAGGGGCAATCATTAACCAATAGGAGATAGAATACTAATTAATAAACGAACTGCTATGCAACTTGTAGCCAACGAACACTAATTCCTTTGTTTGCTAAAAGTATAAACAGCTCTGATAGTTGGGGCGCTCGATTTGTGGAATTCCACCGGGGGCGCGCAGGGTTGAACGAAGTAATCAATGTCTCTCTGGAGTGTGTAACTACTGGCTTGTCGGACACCGGGTGAGGAACCCGACCTTTGCCGACAACAGTGGCAGCCCCGGGAGGGGCAGCGCTCCCCGCCCGGCGGGGCAGGAGGCGGGCGGGCGCCGGGCAAGGGAGAAGGAGAGGCAGCCCCGCGGGGCCGAAAGGGAACCATCTTCCCAACCGGCACTTCCGCCCCGCGATCACTTCCAGGTCGGGAGGGCGGGTTCCGGCGGGGAATGCGGGGACCGGCCGGGCGCCGCCGGGTCCCCGCCGCGCCGTGAGGGGCCCGCAGCGCCCCGGCCGCGAGGGGGCGCCGGGCGGGCTGAGGGGCCCCGGGCAGCGGCTCCCCCGGGCACGGCGCGCTCGGCCCCCGCCAGGCGCGGGGCTGCCGCCCGCGCAAGATGTGGGGGCGCCTCTGGGGGTTCCTGTACGACAAATACTTTCGGTTCTGGCTGAAGTGGGTCCTGCGGCTGCTGACCGGGAAGTGCGAGCTGCAGCGCGTCCTGGGCGGCGCCGCGGCGGGGGCGCGGCGGACGCTGAGCGTAGGTAATGGAGGGGCCGGGGCCGGGGCCGGGCCGGAGCTGCGGGAGCGCCGCGAACAGCAGCGGAACCGCGGAGTCGTTTAGGCTGGAAGAGACCTCCGAGCGCAACCACTGAACCCCACCACTGAACCACTAAACCCCGCCACTGAGCCGTGTCCCCAAGCGCCACATCTACACGTCTTTCAAATACCTCCCGGGATGGCGACTCAGCCACTTGCCCGGGCAGCCTGTCCCGGTGCCTGACAACCCTTTCAGTGAAGGCGTTTTTCCTTATTTCCAACCGAAGCCTCCTCTAGGGTTGGATATAACGACCTGAGGCCGTTTCCTCCTGTCTCTTGTTCCCTGGGAGGAGAGACCGACTCCTCACCTGGCCACAACCTCCTTCCAGGGAATTGTCCCCTCCCAGCCCTCTGGTCTCCAATAGCTGGGAACCAGTGCCTGTCCCGAGTGCTCTGTGCATCCCCTGCGTTGTGTGTTCACTCCTCCCTTCATTTTAAATGAGAATTTTAAATCAGAATGCCAGAGCTAGTTTCCTTGCACGCTCGCTAAGGTAATTCCAGTGTCTTGCAAAAAAATGAATCAAAAATCGTATCTTTTCCCCCAGTCTTCCCATCGCTTTGTATATGTTTTTACCCACTAAAAAACTCAGACAGATGTATGTAAATGCATTTTTTTGGGAGTGAGGGAGGAAGAGTGATTTAACGTAGAATTCTGCTAATGCAGAATTTTGATCTGAAATAGCAATGGCAAGTTAAGAAACTACGTAACGTTTTTGTGGTTTCACAATAGCTTGAAGAAGTGACCTTTACACTTCCTTATTATTCAGTAATAAACAGAAAACAATTTCTGAAAATAGAAACACGTTGAGACATATTTTTGTTTTGACACCTTTTCAAATTTGTCTTTGTTTTGTACACTTAATTGATGTTTTAAAAAAATGCGAGTCTATTTTCAGCATTGTACTCGAGGGTTATAAAAACAAAAACCTATGTAAATTAAGACCTTCAGTTACCTGATAGCTCTTCATTTTAAGATTGAGTAATTTTTTATTATATGTGTTAAAGGGATGCAAAATCTTATAACACTTATATGCTGGAAGAACACCTATTGTCAATTATTTAAAATACTTCAATTTAACTGTGACGTCTTCTTTTTTTTGTATTGTAGAACATTCACTGGAATCATCAAAGAATAAGGTAAGAGATTCCAGGGATGAAACCTTAATAAAACCTTGTTTCAGAGAGAGATCTCTGGAAAAGAACATGTGCATTTACTTTTTGAGAGTGGAGCACTGTAGAGGAATAAAAGGCAAAGAGGAGAGAACAGCATTTTGAGTTCTATGCTTGGGTTAGTTAAGGTTTCTCCAAAATAACCCCATATGCCTTCAAATGTTTATTTCCATTGAAACCTCAGCTTGGTTAGCTCTGTGTCTCCTAATTCTGAAGCATTACTTCCTTGGCTGCATTTGTTTCAATTGCATTAGGAAGAACATGTTTCAGTTCAGCAGTTGAAAGCAAACAAGAACCTAGACTAAGCAACTCTCCAGCTTTTCATTTATTCTTTATGGAACTCCTGGATAAACACTGTTGTCTACAGTCTGAAAAATTTACAAATTATGCTTTTATGTAATTATTGCAGATCTTTTATATGCAATTTGAGCCAATTTATTGTAAACAATTGCAGTGAATTGACTCTTGTCCTTTTATAGTGAATAATATATACATGGCAGATATACAGAAGCTGAGAAATAATAATGAGTTCGATGATTTCTGCATTTCTTTTGAAGTCATTTGCTGTGTTTAATTCCTAGGTTTTAAGAAATGCTGTACATGTTGAAGAAGCTGAAGTGGAGAAGTGTGTCAGAGATGTAATGAAAGAAAAGAGAATCGAACAGAGGGATACAGAGTATGTCTGGAAACTGGACATAAGTTCTTCATGGCTGATAACTCTCACTTCTTAAGCATGTTCTTGCAGTTGCTTAATCTTATGCAATATTTAAGCCATTCAACACAAGTATTTAGAATGAAATTAGAAAATAAGGTGTGGTTGTGTCCTCATCAGTTCTAAAAAATAAATTGCAAAGTTTTAATTGACATGGATTTGGGATTACTGCATCTCTATTTTGCAAGCCCCTTCTGTTACTCCATATTTGTAACTAATATGATTATTGCATAGATTGATTACAAGAGCTGTGTAATTGCTTGGATACATTTGAGAGAGCACAGTGATGCCTGATGAATGTTTGCATTTATTTGCATAAGTAATTAGCAAATAAGAGGGGAATATTGTGAACAGTCAAAATTTTAGAGTTTAATGAAGTGCTTCTTTGAAAGTTTGACTTTAAGACTCACAAAAAATTTAGGGGTAGGTGAAGGTACAGGGGTCAGGATGATATATGGGGTTTTCTTGTGTCATAGCAGATTTTAGCTAATTTTGATTTATTTTTCTTCTAAGAGAGCCTGACTGCAGCACTGGAATGGGCTAGGGATTTTTAAAGTATGTGAGATCCATGGCAGTGTACTTAATGAATATGCTATAGTTTGAAAGATAAACATAAAGCACTTCCTAATTTTAGTATTTACATTGCATTAACATAAGAAAGGTCTTCTCTGGTAGTTCAAGCTGGAATTTATGGCTAATTAGGCCTGTTTAATAGCTTCTCTGTGGTGTTTTGTTATTATTTCAGGTTTAAGGCAAATCTGCATATATCCTTACTGCAGATATCAGGTTATAAAAAACTGTATTTGAATGTGGAAAACCTAAGGAAGGTCCCATATGATTCGGAAAATGAAGAACACGAGGAACAGTTAATTGAGGTGAAATAATTTTTTAAATACAAAAGCTGTTTGTTTGGGTTTTTTTCCCCTCCAGGTAGAACACCTTGAATGAACTTGTTGGTAGTATTCTTAGCAGCTGGCCTATTTAAAGCTCTTTTCTACTTATAAACTGCTAAGCCATTATAGGAGTGACACATTAAAATACAACTTCAAAGCAAAACAGATTAGTAAACTAGAGTTACTTGCACTGGAATTATTTTATGTGAAATCAGACAACAACAGCAACAGGTAAGTAGCAAAATAGGTTTCTAATGGGTCACTGAATGCTACGAAAAAGATATTCAGCCTTATGCATGTGTGTAACTTTGTAAACCAGTCATTACTGAATTAAAAAAAAGTATTTTCTTATTACTGCATCCCTGTCAATGTCAAAGACAATGGTTTAATGCTGGAAGATAAAGATTATCAGTAATGTATTTTAGGCAACTATAAATAATAGCAACCAAATAACATATTGGTTATTTTAAAAAGCTTGAGGCTTTTTAAAATAGCTTCTACTGTGCAAATATATTAGTGTGTTGTTTTCTTAGCACTTCTTAATTATCTCAACTTGCTATGCAATAACATTATGTTATGCTATGCATAACATTGGCATGTTATGTATTCACTGAGAATTTGTATTTCAGTTTATAGCTGTCCTATCACAAAATGATACATAATTTCTAAGGTGAAACAAGTATTTGTTTCTTTAGTGTTGTTACAGTCTCTTTGTCTGTGAAGGGAAAGTATCAGATTTAATGTTAAATGCAGTAATTTTTGTCATTTCTGAAGTAAGCCATTGTGGCACGACTCCAGATTGCCACTAACAGAAAAGAACAGCGTGCAGATTGCGTCCTGGTCCCTGGGGAGGGGTTTCTAACATGCAGCAGCAAGTGTTCTGAATTATGTGGCTTTGAATGCTGTAGCAGCTGTGTGTAACATGGAAGCATATTTGTGCAGCTCTGGAATTTGCTGATGCCTCACGAGAATCTGAAGGCCCGAATCAGCAAGCAGTGGTGTGACATCGGCTTCCAAGGCGATGATCCCAAAACAGACTTCAGAGGAATGGGTCTGCTGGGCTTAGTGAATCTGGTGTAAGTGAAAAGAAGTATTTAATTTCTTTTGTAACTAGTTTTCAATATCTGTGTATTTTCTCTAGTTACTGCCATCTCTAATAAAAACGGAATAGAAGCAAATAGAAACCATTACGTTCTAAATAAGCCAACATTTCTAGCAACTGCACATCTGTAAACATGTGGCTGGGTAAAGTCAACAAGAGAGGGAAGGGGCAGAAATTTGCCCAAGACACCTTATCTTTTGTTGTCATCTGATAGATTTGGTAGGTTGTAACTAACTTGTCAAAAGCTTTAAAAATTCACAAATTAATTATTGCAAAGAAAACCAGATAAGTTTACATATCTTTGCTAAGCTAATCTGTGGACTGGGGTGAACTTCATATTTGATGTTCAGATCACAATGGTTTTTGGGTTTTTTTTTTACAGTATTAGTTCATGCTGAGTATAACTTAATTTGCTACCTTTTCCTTGGCTTTCATTATGTGCCACTTTTCATTAGGGAGTAGTATTCAGCTTTAGTTTAGAGCTACATATTTTAATGTTGAACACAATTATATGAACTTAAACCAATGAAAGATCCTGTTTCACACTGCCAGGTATTTCAGTAAGCATTACACCAACGAAGCTCGGCAGATCCTTTCTCGTTCAAATCACCCAAAGTTGGGGTAAGTCACTGTATGATTTTTTTCTGGCTTGTTCTGTGTAAGAGCTCATGTGATGCATGCCAAGTATGTGTCCAGAAAATTAAGAAGATAATATTTTTGGGTTTTTTCCATTAAAGAATAAAAAAAAAGGACCAAAATAGAAAGGTGTGAGAAACCGAACACTGAAATCAATTTTGGGGCGGGGAACTATGTGCAGCTTTTTTTTTATTTTAAACGGATTTGCTGGGACAAAAATGTTGCAAAATACTGTCTTTGGTTAACACAGTGAATGCATTTAACATCATAGTTAGCTTTATTTCTAATAGGCTTAGATTAGATTTAGAAATTAATACTTATTTTTTGCCTTTTACTGATCATGTGTTGGGATGGTAGAGATTCTCTCTTAAGGTCCTCTTTTTTGCTAGGTTTCTGTACTGTAATAAGTATATTCAAACAGATGTTTTGTTCAAATTTAACTTAGTTTTTGAAAGCTTTGCATATTTAAACATTTTACAGGGAAAATATACTCTAAGACCAGTTAGATAAAATAATCTGATCTATCTAGTCCCCTGTTAACTCAGTGACCTACCAAGAGCAGGAGACCTTCATGACTTTGATTCTAAATAATATTACCCTGTGTAACTAGGTCCTGAATAGGATATCTGAGACTTTTTGCTCAATTAAATCACCATACAATTTACACAAATGAACTAATTTTTATTTTTCCTTCTTTCAAAACCACTTTAACTGTTCTTTAAGAATCTCTGTTATGCTTTCTCTACCATGCAACAAAAAACCAGATTTTTTTCAGCTTGAAGAGCAGGTTGCAACAGCCATTCCATTTATACTGTAACTACATTTTGGACATGCAATTTTTAATATTCCAGCAGATCTAAGGATTTCAAATGAGCAAGTTGAGGTCAATGTTGATGGCCTTTCCATCTCAATACTGCCCAAAAATTGACTCTTACAGGTATCCTAAAGCAAACTGTTTCAGGGGAGCTTTTAAGACTTCCAGTCCATAAGGTAAAACGAGCCCCATGATTTGTGTTGCAGATATTCCTATGCAATAGTTGGGATCAATCTGACAGAAATGGCATACAGCTTGCTCAAGAATGGTGCTTTAAAGTCTCATCTGTACAACATGGTGGCTGGATTGCCCCAGATGGAGCACTTCCATCAGTTTTACTGTAAGTATTCTCAGCTCCTTTAGTACAGACTACCAAGGGGAGGCTTACAACATGGAGTTTAGGTTTTGGAGTGCACTTCCACTCTTCTCTCATTAGCCAGAGCGAGCTGTGTGTCTTTTTCTTCTTGGATTGGTGTTGGAAATGCACCTGATGCTTAAACATTGGACTAGAGAAATGTACATTTAAGGGATAATTTGTGTGGCTTTCTGTATATTAGAGACTGCTGTTAGAAAACTCAATATTTGCAAATTTAATTATTTTTATTAATTATTACAGTATCCAAAAGCTTGCTGTAGCACAGGATAGGACAGTCCTTGTTTTAAGGGATGTCTAAGGGATCATTCTAGGACTAGCTAGATCAAGGCAGGAAACTTTGGAGGTAATTTTTGCAGATCTGTATTTTATTTTCTTCACAGGTTATCTAGTTTATGAGTTTGACAAGTTCTGGTTTGAAGAAGAACCAGAAAGCATTATGCACTTCAACCAGTACAGAGAGAAATTCCATGAAAAAGTTAAGGGACTTCTACTGGATTGCAACGTGATACTCACCTTACAAAATACAAAGAAACCATAACTCCTCTGCAGAATTTGAGGTTCTGCATCAAAAATTGAATGATGCATTTGGATTGAAGTCTTGTGTGTTTCACCAAAAACTGTTTAACAATAGAACCTTTTTTTACATTAAAAAAAAAAATTAGCAAAATTCAGTTAAGAAAGCTTGTACAATCAACCTCTGTTTACAGGTATTTATATGCTATTCTCCAAAGGGCAGCTTTTTAAGAAGGAAGTTAAACAAAAACCAGCCAACCAACCAACACAAAAACCAACCCATAAATCTCAAAAGCCTCTGGATCACTTGCTTTCACTTTTTTATTTCTTGATGCAGGAACATGAAGCAGGTATTTATGCTGCATCATGTTTTCTATGAATAGGTTTCACAGTTAATTATCTTTTAAAAGACAGTTTAAATTCAACTTTTCAACTTTGAACTTAAATTCCAACTTTTTAATCTAATAGTTCAAGTTAAGTTTGAGTTGTAGATAAAATTCCCCTGGTTTTAGACTTCTTGTGTTCTTGTTCCATTACATGTCATTATCATTCACTAATCAATGATAAATTTTTCTGTAATTAAGAGGTGCATGGAGGGGACATATTAGTCATTTATAATTTTGGAGAAGAGGCTTAATCCATCACCATACTGATGTACTTACTAGAAGTTACTTCTGGCTAAGGAAGTTTTTTATCTGTGGATTTGTACCAGCCACTTCCTATGCTTGGAAGAAATTTAGTTTGCAAAACAAACAAAAGGAACCACAAGTCATCAGCATGAGGATAAGATTCTCAGGCTAAAGCTACTCTTTCTAAAAGTATTCCTACTGTAAAAATTTTTGATTCTTTATAATCTGACTTCAGATGCTCAGGATGATTGACTTTGTATCTGTTGTCAGCCCTTTCTTCTAGCAGGTAATGGGGTATTCTTAGTGGGAAGTACAAGAGATCTAGTTTAGCCCTTTTATAAATTTTAAAGAAAAACTTTTACTGCAGCTGCAGTCCTTATTTTGTGAAATTAAATTCACATCTGAGTACTAGCCTCTAACAGAGATGTGTTTTCCATGGAAGGGTGCAACTTTGATGTGTTCCTTAACCTTACCATCCTCAGACAATCTAGTCAATAGGACTTCTTGTCTATATTGTGACTAATTATTGCTTAGAGCAACTTTAAATGGATTTGGCATGACCATCATTTCATTTTCTAAGAACTACTATTAAATAAGTGCCTTCTGCTTTTTTCAATGTCTTTTATTTTGATTCTGTAACGAGATCACAGCCTTAGAAACTTGATTTATTTGAGAAAAATTCTTTCACAAGGTACCTAAATAGCTCACAGTGGCACAAAATTTGTATGCTAATACAAGCTTTCATGACTTTATTTTTTTTTTTAAATCATCTCAGGTAAACTAGTTGTAGTCAGTGACTAGTCATGAAGAGATTCCTGAAGAATACAAGCATTGAACATGAGAAGGAAAAAAAAAAAAGAGACAAATCCCTTTTTCTAATGAGTATTGTTACACTACATAAGTATGAAATATATTATAATATGTGGTACTGTGTCTCTTAGAGATCATCAAAACCCAATTAGACTTGGCCTTAAGCAGCCTGTTCTGAGGGACCCTGCTTTGGGCTGGAGATTGGACTTTGTGATCTTCAGAGGTGCCTTCCCACCTCAGCAGTTCTGTGAGTCTGTATTGTGTAACTAGTGACTTGTTGCACTGCATCCACCCACATGCTCTTGATCCCTTAAATGTTGGTCATCTCTTGCTTGTGGGAAAGCTCCTGGATCAGGGTAGACAGTACATGTGTAGGAGGAGGTAACACAGTTCTGTTTTCTTTTTATGGTACTTTAGGTGTAGATGAGAGTGTAACAAGTTTAATGTGTGCAGGGCAGAGAAGGGCTCATCTCACCTGGGTTGGGTTGGATGCTGTTCCACTTGATAAAAAAAAAAAAAAAAAGGAAAAGCACTGTGAAGATGCTCAGAGGGAGAGTATTTACGGTTATGCCCTGGCTTGTAAACCAAACAGTTAAACTGACCACATTAGATACAAACTGACCATGGGAAGCCCAGTTCTTTTGCTACTTCCAGGTACTTGGATCCTGCAGTTCTCACCCCTGAAAAGCTGAGATCCTGTGGAGAGCATTCTGCGATTCAGGTCCTGCAGTGAAGCTCTGTTTCTCTGGCCCTTGCAGACATTGGACATGCCTAAAATCTGAGGAAGGAAGTGGAAAGTAGACTCATTCCAAGTATGCTTTCTAGCCTCAGCTTCTGTTGAGTTTATCTCCATTAATAACTTTTGCTACTGCTTGTAGATCTCCTTTGCAAGCAACACGAGTGACTGAATTTCAGAGGTGACCCCAGTATGTTTAGCAGCAGCAGGAAAGGAGATCCTATTCTTTTATTTTCATCTACTGCTTTCTAGCTAGCAACAAAGCTGCTTGAGACACCTCTCTAAACACTACCCGAGCTAGGTTTGCAAGCTCTATTTTATTTGGCAACAGTTGCAAAAATAATCTACACCCTTGTCTTTCCAGCACTGAAACTTTAACTTGTTCACTGGGAGACTGACATTTGACTATTGCTGGGGCTTCTAAAGCCCAACCACGGAGTTTCAGATTTCCTATCACACAGCAGAGGTGTTTTAGTGTAGGATGTAGATAGAGTTTAGTGTGAGATGCATCTCTGTTTAGTTTTTTTTCTTTTTAAATCAATGAGTGACCTGGGACTAAACTGTGGCAGTATACAAGGGGAAAAAGTAAACCCAGCCATCATCAGTGAGTGAGACATGTGGGAATACATTAGTTTGCATGTTGTAATTAAGGTGAATGTTTATGTTAGGCTCCAGCACACCTTCCCACTAAAGACTTAGAATTTGCATGCCCAGTAATTCTGTCTAGGAGTCACTCACTATATGTAGACTAGTACTGGGTGTCCCTGTTTGCACCAGTGGTAGGCTAATTGTATTATGGTGGTAGGTAGAAGACATATGGAAAAAGGTAAAATTGTGTTTAGGGAAGGGAAGAACGATGCTTTACTAGTCAGCGCCAATTTATGCCAACTCTGTAGTAGAGTGACAATCCTGAGGTTATGGAAGATTGGAAACAGAGGTAGGCCACCTTTCTGCAAGGTTTATATAATCAATTTGTTCAGCATCAGAATTTGTTGCTCACAGGTTATTCTGAGAGTCTTAAAAACTTGCTAAATTCTCTTATTTATTAACCGTCACGCTTCTAAGTACATACTGCCTTTTCAGAATTTGTAAGTGCTGTTAGTTTTCTAACTTGCTGCCTCTTTAAAGCATTCACTCTGTGAAAGCTTGTATGCAACAGTCATTTAAGAAAAAAATTCTAAAACTTAAGACAAGGTGGTTCTCTAAATTTTTTGTCGTTCCTGTAGCAACTGTTTAACAAACTACCTCCACTTTTGTTGTTTAATGTATGCTTGAAACGTGGTACCACTCTACGAACAAAATAATCTGAAGATAAGTAGTTTACCACAAGCAAAAGTAAAATCTAGTCTTTCACTAAGTAAACCCTTTGCTTCATAAGTAACCAACTTGACTGGAAAGTGATCTGAAGACAGTGCTACTTAGGAGGAAAGAAAATGAGAATGTTTTTAAACTGGTTGTGCTTCTGTCATCTGATACAGCCATGTAAAGGATAGGGTGTTTTGTCCTAAAGGACAACTGGAAAAGGGGCCAATTTAAACACCTCAGATAAACAGTTTTGGATTTTCACTCTTTGAAAAACAAAACCAAAACCATGCAAACAAGCAATTAGACACGCACAAAGCCCCAAGCAGTGGTTTTCCAGACCTTCCATCCCAGTTTAAAATAAAACTTTATGAAAAAATTACTTAGCTTTGTTTTAGGAATTATCATAATGAAAAAGTTTGTATTGAGTTAGGTGGGCAGTCAGTATTCTTGAAAATACTGCTAGTGAATGCGTGGTGAAAGATGTAACCTGTGATTTCTTTCTGTCATACTTGTTTGTGTTGCTGTAGTACAATGTTGACTAATTTTTGGACTGATGTTTCTTGTGCCAGTCTAGATACTGTCTTTCTTTCTCTAGGGAATTAAAAACAACCCAGCCCAAGACAGCTTGTGGGCAGTTTCTTCTTATCACACTGTGCTTAGATAGCTGCATACTAATAGGAATCCCTGTTTACCATGATATAAAAGCAATAATGTAAACTGTGATGTCTGTGTAATAGAGATGTTTACAATGGTAGCAAATAAAGAACGGGTTATTCCAAAATATTGTCAGCATTAGTGTGTTTGGCCTGCTAGAAAATATAAGAGCTTTCACTTAGCTGTGCTCTCTGTTCATGCACCTGCACTGGGATGTGAGAGAAGGCTTTTTCCTAGCTTTTTTTTTTTCTTTCCCTCCCCTCTCCACTCCCCTCCAGCTCCAAGAACTTGTTCAGAGGTCTCTGGTTCTTATACCGGGCTTGCATTTGTGCCTAGGAAAGTAGGCATTGTTAGGAAATAATACTACAGCACCAACTGTTGAAATGGCGGGCAGCAGAACATCTGTGTGCATGGAAGCTGACCTGGAAAACACAACAACAGCTGGAACAAAGGCCAGCTGGCTCACACACACCTCCTAGTTTTTAGATCAGCATCCAAGATACGTACCTTAAATCAAACACAAGAAGAAAGGAGTAAGATTTAAATCTGACTGTGAGATTCACACAGAAAGTGTTTTTACCTCTCAAGGTGAGTCTGATACCACAGACAAACGCACTTACACCCAAGTCCACTTGGTATCTTACATCTAACAGGAAATCCTGCAGTGGGAAAGTCTGAGTTTGACACATCTTACAGATTTGGGAGTACTACAGCCTGCAACACTCCCTCACTCCCTGTTACCCTGAATGAAGTCTCAGCCACAGTGCATTGCTGCACAGACCAACAGCATTCCTGGGAGGCCAGAGGAGATGCTTCCTGCTTGGCTGAGCAGAGGGGCTTCCCAGCCCTCAGCTCACTTTGTTCTACACCCCAGTAGAAAGGTGGCAGCATCCCTTTTGTCACATTCTTTTGGTCCAGGCTACAGAAAACAGACCTCACTTCCTTGACAAACAGCACATACAAATGGCATAGTGAGGTGGAAGGAGACAGAGAGGGGCTTTGCTGAGTTTCTTGAGCTGGAGTGCCACATTACTCTCCAGGGATGGAGCAGAGTTTTGATTTTTGCATGTAAGAGAAAATTACAGATGGGCTGCTGCAAGTGGTAGAGGTTTATTACTGCTTTTTTTTCAGTTCCCTTTTAAATCCTTACTTGAAAAGTTCTGTTTTAGGCTTTAAAAGAAAACTGAAAACCAAACACACACACAAAACCCCAAAAAACCTCACAAGAGCAATTTTGTTTGAAGGACCTGAAAGTTAACTCTCAGAGGCAACTCGAAATGTTCAGGGGAGCAAAACTCCAAGAACAAAATTTGCAAGCTGGAGAACAACTCTAGAGAACGTTTTTGGAGAAAGAAAGAGAAACCCTCAAAACCCTCATAGGTTGATATTCTTTTTTTTTTTTTTTTAAACCTCTGTGTGTGCTGGCACGCCTTCATCCCCATACAAGCTAAGTTAAATAATTTTCTTGGATTTTTTTCAGTTCATTTGTATCTCTCAGGCAGCCTTTTTTTCTGCTTCTGAGGTAGAGTTAATTTTCTTCACAGTGGCTGGTACGAGGCAGTGTTTTGGATTTGTGCTGAGCACAGGGTTGATAATACAGAGATGTTTTTGTTGTTGCTGAGTAGGGCTCACACAGAGCCAAGGCCTTTTCTGCTTCTCACACTGACACACTGGTGAGGAAGTTGGGGGTGCAGGGATGGTTGGGAGGAGACACAGCTGGGACAGGTGACCCCAACTGACCAAAAGGATATTCCAGATCATATGGCATCATGCTCAGTATATAAAATAGAGGGAAGAAGAAGGAAGGGAGGGACCTTTGGAGCTAAGGTGTTTATCTTTCCAAGTAACCACTATGGTTGATGGGGTCCTGCTCTCCTGGAGATGGCTGAACACCTGCTTGCCCATGGGAAGCAGTGAATTAACTCCTTGTTTTGCTTTGCTTGTGTGTAGGGCTTTTGCTTTCCCTATTAAACTGTCTTTATCTCCACCTATGAGCTTTCTGGCTTTTACCCTTCTGATTTTCTCCTCCATCCCACTGGTGGGGGACTGAGCAAGTGTCTGCGTGGGGCTTGGTGGCTGTGGTTAAACCACAATATTAGAAGTCTCAATTGCCACTTCAACTAAGTAACACTTAAGACTATTTTCTAGTGCAAATAAACAGAAATAGCAGAATAGAAGGAAAGTTTTATTCCAAGCAGAGGATAAGGCTCAGTAATAGACACAACTGCTTCACTTTCATTCTCACTTATAATATGTCTGCATGTACCTAAACTGGTGAGCTCTAGTCACAGACCAGACTTCTCCCACAGCACCAGGTGTTGACATCAGGATTCAAAGGAAGGCCCCAGACACTGGAACCTCATACTCTAGCTAAGCAAAAGGCCAGGATACTACAGCATGCTCTGCCATAGGCTGAGCTAACCCACCAACTCATACACAGTTCCTCAGTATTTTCTCATTTTTTCCAGATGTTTTACTCTAAGCCCAACTAGTCCATGTTTCTTACAAAAGTGGATATAACAGCATCAAACAGCTTTTACTGTTAATTTCTGACAAAAGGCATCTTCTACCAGCATACCTTGCTATTACTGAATTACCAGTAACTGGAACAGACTAGGCATCATGGTTCTCACTCACAGGGATGCCACAAGTTTGCAGAGTAACAGCACTGGAACTCACCAAGGCACGTACAACCCAAACAGGCAGGGACTTGGTGAGCTGTGCTCCCTACCTGTAATACATTGGGACAGCCACAGGTGCCTCCTCTCTAACCTGCTGCTCTCCCATTTGGGCAGGTTGTAGATTTACAGTGCTTATCCACCAGCTTCATTTTGTTGCTTTGTGCATTCTGATGGAATTGAAACTCTTCCCAACAGTTTCTTGTTGGTTACTGTATTGCACCTACTGTTGACACCAAATTACCACAGTTTCAATATCATGCTACAAGATTACAGAGTAGTAGCAAAGGCCCTCTGACAGAAGGCATCCAGAGGTTTGCAGAGCACCCAGCAGAAGAACCAGACGTGGCTGCAAAACCTTCCACGCAAAAGCACTGCCTCTTTGCTTGTCCAACTGCTTTAAGGCTATTCCCTTCTCTGCCACAGTTCCTTACACGTCATACCATATATATACCACACCAGCCTCTGCCATCTAAATTTATGACACAACACTCGATATCTATTATAAAAGAAGCTCCAGCATCACTGTATAAAAACTCATAAAGTGTTTTACTCTTTACAACAGATTTGATGTTAATTTTTCGCTAAGTTTAATACATCACATAACGAGCTTCCTGTCTGCGTAACACAACCTGTGTAAAAACAAACCTTTACAAGTCTCAAATACAACCCTCAGCTCTAATACCTAGAATTCAAGAGCTGTAAGACGTTACAATGAAGGAAATAAGTGCCACAGAACTTCCATGTGTTATCAGCATCTGCCTAAGCTGAAAGACAGACTGGAAGAAAATTCAAGAATATCTCCTTATGGTTTTGTTTGTTTGACTGGCTGGTTTCATTTGGTTTTGGTTTTTTTTTTAATACAGAAAGCTCTATAAAATAGCAGCCCCAACTGAACTCTACAGTTCACAGGTTAAAGAGACTGTATCTCCAAGCACAGAAAGCACAAGGCATAGGAACTTGTAAAAAACCATACTCACTTTCTGTGTAGGGTACCTGCACATACAGACTAGACTTTCAAAATACTCACATTTTCTCACAGGTCAGTTGAACTCTTCTGCAGCTTTCCATTCACCAGCTCCCAGGCAGCTACTAAAGAACAGGTCACAGCAGATGATGTCATCAAGTAGGCATCTGCCAGGTGGCTGTTTGCTGTGGTTCTGATCAGGTGAGAATCCTCATCCAAAAAAACCTGGAGAAAATCAGCTCACCTGGCTGCTACCTACAGCAAAGCCAGTCTTAAAGAAGACCTGGCTCACACTCAGCAGCTTTGCTGACATGATCATGAAGGTAAGGAAGGCTACTAGAGCAAAACAGAAAGAAGTTGCCTTGTAAAATGGCTCTTGTTACACCAGGCATCCACTTGTGGATGCCTCTTCTTGTTAACAGGAGTCGTAACAGCAAAATAATTCTCATGGTACGTTGCATCCCCTGCCCTGCGGGTGGGGTGTGGAACAAAGCTGACAAGGCCTTCTGAGATAAAGAAAGGTCTTTGAGCTGTAGTCTGTGTGTCTCTAGGGGTGTGTGGAAGTTTGCTGGTAGGCTTAAATTTGCTTTACCATCACAGACACCTAAAAGAGAAATACTTAGGGGATCTGCAAACCTCAAAAGGTCAGTAGTCCACTTAAGAACGTTAACTCTTAGTGCTGAAGACTTCCATTATAGCTTATTCAGCTGCCAGGCATTACAATAAAGCACCCCACTCTGGCCTCAGCATCTTAAGTTAAAACAAAGCCATAGTCTTCAAAATGGTAATTATGGCTTCAAATTAATGTCATTATTTGAATGAATATCATTATTCACATGTAAACTAATCCACATAGTCTGGTACACAGACCATAGTGCTTTTTCATACTGTTACATGTATACATACTTGAATTTGTCTGTGTAATAAACCACAACCACCTGCTTTTCTCTCTAGCATGACTTTTAATAGTTAAAAATCAAATATGTGCAGAGTGTACTTTATTTGTTCACATTACCTATTTGTGGTTAAAAACCACTTCATCCGACAGTTTAAAAGCAGTCTTTTAAAACAAAGGAATTAAACATAGCTTGTGCTAAAAAAACCTGCAAGTTACATGGATGCAATATTATACAGGAGTATAAAAAAATCAACAGTATTCTACAGAAAATATTCTCAAAACAGCAAATAAAGATTAGGCATGTAGGCATGATCCTGAACGGAACAAATATCAATTAAAAAACAGCTAACAAAATTTAAAAAAAATCCTGAATTTCTGTATAAAAAAAGCAAGGATTCAAAGTGCAGGTGCTCCAGTTTTCATTTGAACATATTATTCAGTAAGTCAGTACAGGATACTATTCATTTTATATAAAGTGACAGTGTTCTCAGTAAGACTTAAACATTCAGTTACATTATCTTGCAGATTTTTTTTCATTACTGCTACTTTACACTGTAGTAAATAAAGACTTATGCAATACAGGC